AAGACCAAGACGCTATAGCAACACAGTTTCACACGAATTGTACCACGTGAATCACCGGTAGCTTACACTGGCTACCTGAATCTCATTAGGTAACTCCTGTTAAGCTTGAATGAGAACATTCTTTGACATATTATTCACGCGAAATATGCACGATGAGCGCTCGAAACTTTGGCACGATCGTTATTTTTCTACGTATAACCATTCTAATATAATTTCCTGACCTAGTTCCAAGATACCACCAAAAACCTTGATCTTCATATAACACGGAAGCTATTAATTACAGAAATACCATAAATATTCCAAATTCGCCATCTCTGGTTAACGTGAGAATTAAAATCTTCATCGGTCACGAATGACGTCTGGCGAGTGAAATGTCAATCAAGGTCGAATCACACGGGAACTTTGTGAAACAAAGGGAAAACGAAGATAACGCAAATTACAAAGGATATCGCCTGTTTTCAACCGCACCGCGATACAACGAATTAAATTCGTTCTCTACCAATGACCACCCACGTGTTTCTAAAATAAATTACGCCGCGGCAGGCAAACAGGTTTATTACTGGTCGTGCATTCGCGAACTGGAGCGTCCGAGGCGCGACCCTCCTGTGTCCATAAATATTAAAATGTCCTTAAAGCTTTATTTAGGCGATACCGTTTCCTCGTGAACGCACGCGTTTCACTTTCGCGGCTCCACGCAGCGGGCGATGATGTCGTTCGCGAAACGCCACAACCAATCAGATTCGTGCGCACGCAAAGTGCCATCTGTCGTCGCGTCTCCCGATTAAGACGATTCTAGAATTGTTTGTAATTTCCTTTCGACATAATTGTCTCCTTTCGAAATGTCAAACGTATGCCGCGTGTGAGTTATGCATAGGTGATTAATTTCTTGTCTTCAAGATACTGAAACTTAATATACCAAGTGGCCAATAATTGTTTGTAAACCAGTTTCGTCATAATTATCGATTTTAGGTTATGAATCATATAGTGTGTATAGTTCAGTATAATCGACATCGAGTGAAATTTCTTTTTAGATACTACTTGATGGAAATTGGGAACTAAACGGTTTTCTGTTACTTGTTACTTGTCTTTTAAATTAACGAATTTTTATTTGATTATTCCAACATACATTTGTATTTCTTGAAAATTCTCAGAGATAATCTATATGCTTTTCAAATGAAATAACTTTTGGAATAACAAGATTAATATATTAATTAACCTTATTATAATCTCCTAATATAAATATTAAGATATTTACAATTTACATCTTAAAAGAATTTCACTATGAAAGAATTTATTGGACAAAGAAACAAAGACGACGAAGCAGCGTTACCTTATGGATTTCCCTATCTAGGGGTCATGAAACGAAACTATACGTGAAAAATGTATGAGGAAATGCGACTCGAAAAAATTTCTCCTTCGTCCCTTATTTCTTTCGTTCCCGACGTCCGTCGTCCTCGTTATCGTCCGCTCGATATCGCGACGCAGGGCAAAGTATACCGGATTCCTCGCATCGATGCCCGATAGAGCGATGCGTGCGCGATAGGACGGCGAGCGTGGCTGACAGAGAACCTCGGGCCAGCTTTCGGCCGTTTCCGCCGCCCGTTCGGCACGCTTCGGCTCAACGCGTGTAATCAAGTGGTATAAATAATTCCGTGGCGCAGCCATGAGCCGGCCACCCGAGCGGAGAGCTCATTCCCCTGTTATGACACGCCGGAATCGGGACGCCTGGCCGCGCGCGCGACAACAGCCTACCGTGCAACCCCTTCGCCAAAGAGAACACGCGACCGCTGTTCTTGCGGATTGGCTAATCGCCATTTGCCTTGGAGTGGATATGAAAATTATTTTCTTTTGGAATGCTTTGCATTTCGAGCGTAGGAAAACAGGGCTTGGGTACTTGGGTTGTTGACGCTTTGGGATACAAATGCACAGTGTTTTCAGCGTGAACGGCATATTTATCAACGTTTAATTCTATATCTATGTTTCTATCCATGGCAATTCATAAGTGGTTAAGCATAATGCATATGATAGAATAATTATTCTAAATTTGTTACATTATGTATGTTTACAGACTGACAGTTTGTTTGGTATACGAATGTACATTACCATAAACCGTGTTAAATAAATAGCGAAATGTAAACAGGATGTAATATACCATGGAGAATGGAGTATGTAGAAATTCTTTGTAATAAATTATTTATTGCAATTATGACTACAGAGTATTAAACGAATGTCGGAGTATATGGATGTATGTGACGTAAACCACTTTACAAGGGGGCCAATATTAACTGCCAATTCAACGTAGAAAGACTGGTGGCGCGAACTATGCTACTACCAAAGTCACAAATGTAGACTTCGCGGCATCAAAGATGGAGTCAAAGATGGAGTGAATATAATGTACTATCCCCACTGCAAATGTCCGAGTTTTCCACATAAAGTGAATCGTAAAAACAATATTCGTGCACTGAAAGGTAGCGCGCAGCTCTGCGCAGCCGAGAGAGGCCATGTCGTCCGCGATGGGCCGATTCTCGACTAACGCCCCGGATCGCGAACCGGTCATTAGTGCAACGGAACCGGTGCGCCTGGGACAGGGAAACGCGGAATATCCAGAACGCTCGCGCTAGATGCCCCTATTATCGGTCGTCCGACCGCTAGAATGCCGTTAGACGACAGTCAATCTATTGTTCTACGTGTGTGCATGCGATCTTGACGCTCTTCGGACAGAGGGCGAAGCCAACGGCCTAACTGCGACTGAATCGATAGTGGAGTGTACCGCTCCTCGTATTTCTAATTTAACTTCTTATCACTGCTGCAATTAAGACTTAATTTTGAGAAAGTATGTACGGAGAAAATAATTTGTTTCAGTTAACTATGCGTTTATTTCATTTAAGTTCAAATTGCAAACGTTTTCAGAATCTACACAAATTTTATAGACGTTCACGAAAATTTGTCAAATATAATTTTAGTTGGATCATAAGTGTAGCTTGTCTTTGTGTGTCCTGGTCTTTATAGCGTGAGAGGTAATTTTTATTTTCGCATTTTTTGTTGCGACTGTACTATTCTCGAAATTTTGATTCTAACTTTCGTCTTTCTATTTCTCCTGGCGATTGTACTGCTTTTCGAATTCTTATTTTAATTAGTAGAATCATAGTCTTTGACAAATTAGCGTAACATAGCGCATCTTGTGTTTGCAAATTAATTCCGATTTAAATAAGATCAAAGTTTAGAGTAAAATACAGAGAAGTTTCTAACATTCTAATTAAATCTTCGAAAGTCTGCTTAACGAACGTGATGTATGTAACCTGTGTATATCATCCGAACGAGATAATCAGCTATTACTAGCATAATTCCAAAGAAATAATTAACAGAAGGCCTACATAACTTAAGTACGATTCAAACACTGAAATTAAAATATAATTACCACTAGAGTAACATTATATGTTATTATATTATATTACATAAAAGAATAAAATGCTAGAACAAAATTTTCTCTTGAATATTCTTCAATATTTATTGGAAAATATTTTTCTCCAAAAAAAAATTTTTTTTAACGTATTGAATAAAAATTTTTTCTTTGTTAAATAATTTTCGAAACACCTTAAAATTTAAAAAAAGGAAATATAATTATACGCAAACTAGTAACGAGATTTTCGTAACAATGAAGTCGTAATGACGGAGTCCAGATCGAGCAAGCATCCAGGACTTATCCCCCAAATCCTTTGTACATCGCATTTTCATTCGATCATCGACAAGTACCGGTGTACAAAGTCACGGTATAATAAATACGCCCGTGTTATGCTCCAAGAGACACGCACCGCAATTTCAATACAAACAACCGGTGTATGTGGTGCAATACAGTTACGGCGGTCAGACGTTTCCGGTTTCTTTGAATCTTCCAGAGCGACCAACGCGTGGGTAAGACGCGTAATAGATTGCAGCCAGTGTCGTTTCGAGTGAAAGAGTAGGAACCAGTGTGTGGACGATCACGGAAACGCGAGCGTCGTTTCGATCAAACAAACGCGACTTCTCGTCGATTTTTCGGAGTTGAATCATTTTTATCGTCCCGGAACTTCCGTTATCTGGTGATATTTCGTGCGAGCTCCAAGTTACCGGCGGACAGGGCGGAGATAAACAAAAAAATTCACGAATCGATACCCTTTATCTGCGTTGCCCGCTGGAAACCAGCACAAAAACCTGCTCGCGACTTTTTGTTCCCCAAACTTCAACCTTACAGTCTCGATTCTTTGTTGCAAACAGTGTTTCAAATTATTCGCGATTTTTTATACGGGTTAGTAACGGATAATCATAATTTCGAGAAAAAGGATTATTTAATCCTGCGAGGAATTTTATTCTTGTTCATAGTTCGTTGAAAGGCATGGTGAAACTTTTGGATCGTTAACTTTTCATCTTTCGTTGAAAGAGAATAATTGAAGTGGATTTTGAATGAGAGATAATGAGGTGATCAGGGGATGCTTCTTTCTTCGCATAAAGATTACTGTCTAGGAGCGCGTGTTCTTAAATAAGGAACGAATAGCCTATATTTTGTAATAAGAATGCAGAATAATTCGCAAACGCGTAAATTTTATTCAAATAAACGAAAAATAATTTTTCTCCTATCTTCATCTTCAACTTTTCGATATAACGCAATAGTACTGTTATATCGCAAATTTGTGCAGTCACTTATCTTCATTGTATCTCAAACAATAAATATTTCTCCACCAAATGCCTACTACTACCATGTTAAAGAGTAAACAAGTTCTAAGAATAGAATTACTTTTAATTTCTGAGGATATAGAATGCGAATGCTTTAATTCTCGAATAAAAAAAATCGTGAAAAAAAGGGAAAAATATCGGTTGTAGCAGAAAAGAAAAGGGGACGAACGAGCGCGATACTTGGGTCGAATGCGCTGGAGATTTACTCGCGCTAGTGGAAACAGAAGTCAGGAGACACGCGCGCCGCGTCGCGGCGACAGATAAGAAGTACTATTTTTGAAGAGACATACCATCATTCCAGGCAATCTAATGGAGCACGAGCGGCACGATAGCAAGAGACTTCCTCGTTACAGGGGGGCCACCCGGGCCTGTGGCCCTGGTTGGTGGGTGCCCACCATGCCCCTCCTCCGATGGCTCCTCGTCGCTAGATATTCGCACTTATACACTGTCTCAATCCGAGAAGATTTTCTTTTACACGACGATGATACGCGTTGACAGGTGTGGTCGTTACAGATCCATGTTTTTTCTCTCTATTCAATCCGCGTGGTGGAGGATTCTCAGCGGAACTTGAAGGTCATTTTCTGGAACGCGCCAACGCAACCGTCGTACTTTCGCTTTCGTCGCGTCTTCCGCGCTTTTCCAGAGACGCTCGAACCACCACCAGCGCGCTACCACCGGCGATAACTTTCCTTCGTGCGTAACCAAAGCGGAGATCCGAGTCCCGTAACAACGCATGCACGACGAGCGAGAAGCGAGAAAGCACGATTACCTTCGGACGGTTTGTTCGCTACAACGGAATTCGATCATCGCGACACGAGCATTTCTGATCGAGCGACAATGGTCTTTCACCGTGGCCTCGATTTTTAAGCGTGCATTATTCGAAATAGATCAACGTGTTCCACGTATCCCCGCGGTTCTTTTTTCCTTACTATACAATTTAACACTTTACAACGAAGCATCTCTCTCTCTCTCTCTTTCTCCCTCTCTCTTTCTCTCTCTCTCTCTCTTTCTTTCTCTCCCTTAATACGTTACTTTTATCGTACACACCATGCAACCGCTTCGATGCCCGTAATAATAAACGTAATGCCCTTCCGATCACTTTGACTAGCTATCACACCAGTAGCGAAGTGGAGGTTGGCGCGCTCGAGAACGTCGCCGCGTACGGTGTATAATACTCTGTTCTCGCCGCCAGTCGAACGTCACGCAACCGGCGAGAAAAAGACGCCGGGAATAGAATCGACGCTCCCGTGTCCCTCGACCAGCATATCACCACTGTTTCACGCCGCTATTGGCGTCCGGACGACGCGAGCGCGCCACTTGGATCCGCGGGCCGAAATTCTCAGCTCGTCGAAACGAGTTTGCGTGCCGCATATCGTCCAACGGTTCCGTGACCTCCGAACTCAGTCGAGTCTCTTTCTTTCTTTCCCCCACTTTTTCTTACACTCTTTTTCTCTGTCACTCTGCCGATGCGAGCGACAGATAAGGCGTATACTAACAACGACTCGATAACATTCACACCGAAAAACACTCGGCGCACCGCACCGCCGTCGAAAGTCTCTCCAGTCGCATATTTAATTTCCTTCAATGACGATGTTCGTCAAACTCTGCACGAATTTGCACATTATTAATGTTCCACCACTGATATCGCACACGTCCTTGCGACCGATTCGACAATCTTCCCGCGAAATGTTATCGAACACATGGTAACGAAGATCCCTGTAACTTCCACGTTTTTTGGTTCTTGTATTTGCTAGCACATCGACCGACACAGGCAAGAAGGGTGTTTAGATGAATTTTATACAATGTCGCGATGATACACCGTGGAATCCGTTTCGAATTAAACCATCGAGCACGTAATAAGAATCAGGCTCTATCCAGGTTTTACTTTCGACCACAACGCGACCGTAAAATTACGTTGGAACACAGCGCCGTCTCGATTTTCCCTCGTAAATCGTCAACAGGTGGTTCAAGAACGTTGACTTGAAACACGCGTATGAGAAGAAGAAACGTGGCGTCAGCGACGATCGAGTCCGATTTGTCGAGTCACGGCGAATATCGTGTCAAAAAATTCACGACGAAAGACGATCGATGGAACGGGAGAGAAGAACAATGCGAGTCGCGGTTTCGAACAGCTGATCGTGCGCGCACCACTCTCTGTCACTGCTGACACTACAAGGAACGGAAGAAAGCCAGATCGCGCTGCACCGAAATAAAATTCTTTTCTCCTTTTTTCTTTCTTCTGTCTCGACCGCTCTCCATCCGATTCGGGCCCCAAATTTATCTCCGCTTTATTTTCGCTCGTGACGAATCTCGATCGTCTCGTCTCGTATTTATCTCGAAAGTACCCTCCTCTCACTCGTTCACACTGTCGAATGCGTCACCAGTACACGAAAGTTGCACTTAACTACCGCCGCTTCGTATTCTACGTGATCTCCTCACGCTGGTGGTAACGCGCGAAGTCACACGTGTATGCGTGTATATGTATTACGATAACTCGATATTCCTTCTCTTTCTCTGCCTCTACTATCTTCCGTCCCTTTTCATTCGCCGTCTGTCTCTTCTCCACCGCAGCGACTGAACTATTTTTGTTGCGATGGAAGTAACGGCGGTAGTAGCACGCGTCAGCCCCCCACTCTGTATTTTTCTCCTTCGTTTTCCTTCCTCCTTCTTACGTTCTTCCCTTCCCACGTTCTTCTCCTCGTTCTTGCCGTCCTCGTTCCTCGTCTTCCTCGTCGTCGCCTTCGTCGTCGTTAGTGTTTCCGTTGGCCCTTTGTTCTTTTTGTTTACAATGCACAGATCGACCGGCACGTTGCCCCCCTGCCAGTAGGCGAGCGCCGGAAAGAAGAGGAGGAAGAGGTGGAAGAGGACGACCGGGTTTTTTCATACGCAAACATCGGCTGGCAGCTCTCCGCGGATGGTTTGCCTTTTTCTTGCGCTCGCCACTATGCTCTACGATCGCGACGCCAGCAGAACCGATCGTGAAAATTCACCGCAAACTTTGACCGGCAAGCTTCCGTCCGTTCGGGGATACACGGCGGTTTCTCGATCGACGGCCACGCGTCGTTTCGTGGCGAGCCACGCAACGTGTCGTTCGTTCTCAACCGCCTAACGAATCTTTTCTTTCTCTTTCTCTAGCGTGCTCTCTCTCTCTTTCTCTCTATTTCCCTCTCTCTGTCTCTCTTTCTCTCTTTCTCCCGCTCTCTCTCTCTCTCTCTTTCTCTCTATCTCTCTGTCCCTCTTCCAGCCACTCTCGGTACTACACAACAACAGCGGCGGAATTGTCCAGACGTAAAAATCTCTCAACCCCGAGATGCGAGAGTCAGAAACTTTTTCTTTCTAACGAAAAGAAGAAACGAAAGAAACGAAACAAAGTCAAGAATCGAAACGACAGAAAGAAGCAGAATCACTAGAAGATGGAGAACCGCGGAAAGCACACGAGACCGCAGCGACACGAGGCGCGAAGAACGCGCTTGGAAAGAGAGGCGTACAAGAGAGAAGGAAGAGCAAGGACCTATGGTGCTCGTCCTATCGAAGTCCGCGAGCGATTGACTCCCGCGCGTCCCGGTCTCGGAACTGTGGCACGCGTGAGGGGAGCACGGGAGGGGATTCCCGCGGGAGGAGAAGAGGCACCGCGGAACGAGGGGAGATCGAGCGGGTATGTCGGGTAGTCGAACGCGGGGAGGGGGTTGCGGGAGGGAAGGGTGAGGGAAGAATCGGTGGCGGTGGCGGTGGCGGTGGCGGTGGCGGTGGCGGCGACGGCCGCGGTAGAACCGAGAGGTAACGCCAAAGAGGGACTGCGGCGAGAGGGGAGCGGCGGGTGAAGCGGCGCTGGCGGGGTGGGACGGAACGTCCACGGCAGCGGAGGGGGTGGATATGGCGCGTGCCACTACACGCTAGCAGGTGGAGTGCGCGTGCCCAGAAATCTTCTCTCTCTTCGCTCTCTTCCTTCACCCTAACAGATCGTTCTTTCCTTCCTTCGTTCTCGTTCTAACCAATTCGTTTCTTCTCTCTTTTCTTCCTCCTTTCCTTCTCCTTCCTTCTCCTTCTTTCACGCGGTTCCTCTATCTTTATTCGTGATTCTCCTTTATTCGTTCTATCCTATGCCGTGTTACGACCGTGTCACTTCTTCTCTTTCTTTCTCCTCTATCTCGCCGCAGTGGTTGCCTATGTCGAGTCGGTTGGCTTTGCAAATAAGAGTACACCTTCCACCGCCTCCCTCCTCCTGCTTCTTTTTCTACTACTTCTTCTTCTTCTTCTTCTTCTTCTTCTTCTTCTCTAGTTTCCCCGTTCTTCCGCCACGGTCGTTATTATTCCGTTTCTTGTCGCAAACGTACCCGTTCCGCGACTAATTTACCCGCCTTATGTTCTTCTCTTGCGCTCGGTCCACTTGCTTTGTTCATTGCCGACTCAATGGTAGACCGACGGGATTACTATTGGACGTTCGACATTTGCTTTTTGGTTCTATTTTTATTTTACTTGATTAGTAAAACGAAATGTATAAGTGGTTTGTTCAGAGAAATTCGTGGTATTTCGTTCGTCCTTGGCGCTACTTTCATTGAAACGTTGGTCGAGGTTGGCAACATTATTGGTCACGATTAGCGAGCATCATAATATTAACTCGACGCACGATTCGAAGATTCGTGTATTCATAATATTTACGCTGTGCGGTCAGGTTATTCTCGTAAGTCCGATAAGAGTTGCTAACGAAAGTCTCGGCTGCGATAACCGTCGAGGGCACGTAGCCAAGCGGTCGTGACAAATTTCAAATTGTAATACCCACGAATCTCTCGGAGTGTTCGAAACGCGTTCCCGCTCCTTATCGCTGTTTCTTCTCTTCTTTTTTCCGTGCAGCGATGTTTCCTTTATATCGGTAAAAATTGTATTCGTATCTGTATTGAGCAAAAATTGCACGTTCGACTCCTATAGTTTAGGAAATATCGCCTGTCTACGATACATCATGGCCTGTACTTCGCGCTATGTCACTTGAAAAATTTTAAAGTCAACTTCACGATAATATGCAGAAAACATGTATCATGATCATAAACAATATACACTTCCCAGTTCGGATGCTATTCGGACAACATTTGTTGAAAAGGTTGATTTCCGATCAAAATTATCCTCCGCTTTTTCGAAAACGTCACTAATTGGAAAGCTCGATTGCGCCAAATGAGACGTGCGTATGGTAACGCCATGTACTTTGAACGTCCGTTAGAGTAGAGCTGTCACGGAGCTGCGCACGTGGTTTGCAAAGAGCGCGAAAGAACAACAAACCCCATACAACGAACCTGACGCCCCGAGGAGTCGCCAGCCACTGACTCTCCTTCCGATTCGACTCGACTCGACTTGACTCGGGTCGGTTCGACTAGCCTCGCCTCGCCTCGCTTCGCCGCGTCGGCCTCACGTAACTCCGTCCCGCTCCGTCTCGTGTCGTCTCGTGTCGTCTCGTTTCGTCTCGTTTCGTCTCGTTTCGTCTCGTTTCGTCTCGTTTCGTCTCGTCTCGTTTCGTTTCGTCTCGACTCGTCCCTTCTCGTCGCGTCGCGTCCCGTCTCGTCGTGTCTTGTCGCGTCGCGTCGCGTCCCGTCGCGTCCCGTCTCGTCACGTCCAGTCCCGTCTTATCCCATCTCGTTTCGTATAGTATAGTATCGTCTCGTACCGTGTCGTATCGGCTCGTATCGTCTCGTGTCGTCTCGTGTCGTCTCGTATCGTCTCGTGTCGTCTCGTGACGCCTCGCTCTTCTCATCCGACTACGGTATGTCGCACCGCGCCACAGTGAGGCGCGCACGTAGGCACGCATTCGGCTGTACTCGTCCCGAAGCCGAGACGACCCGAGGCGACGCGTCACGATTCCGACTTCAACTTCGACTCTGATTCGCTCTCTACTTGTTCCGATCAGTGCTTTACCTCTTTGTCTCCTTTACACCGCTGTATAATATCACCGACTGCCACAGACTGGTGAGTCCAAAACCTTTAACCATTCCAACGATAACTACACCGCAACGCCTCTAACGTGTATAGTTGCGATGGTCCAACACACGTCAGTGCGGCGTCAGGCGAAGGAAACCGAGTCGATATGATGCACCGTAAAGTGTGAGAATGCCTTGCCGAGATGGCGTGACGGATAAATACGGGCTATGACCGAGTGTGCTATTCTTTTATGACCAAAATATTTTTGAACGAGAAAGTTGCGGATAATTATACATAAATGGCTCCATCAGTGAAATTAATTTGAAATCAATGTTCCAACGCCGATATCGATTTTTCTTATTAATTAACGATATTTTCTATTTAGGAAATATCAACGTTAAGTAGAGAATTACTTTTTATCCGTTAGAGTGACTTTGTATGCCATAAAAATGAAGTATATTCGCAAGATATTCAGACGTGTAGGCAAATGAGAAGACAATGATTCAACGAAACTTCAAATCAGAAACCGTTTGCACCTTCAATGACGGAGTCGCGAGCGCGACTTAAACGACTGCTGTGCAGCTGGCAGCGAAGCTTTTACACAGACGCATTCGCGACACGTCGCCCGCACTCCCAACTTCCACCAACACTTCGCCATTGCGTCATCAGAGTTTCATAGTGCGCTGGGATTCGACGGGAGAAGGCGCGCGAGCGCGCAAACGGGACCACTGCGAGAGCGACGCATCTGTATCGCTCCGCTTACACTTATTACAAATCCGCCAGTGATACTCAACCCAATTTAAACTTCACGCGAGCATGACGTGCCGGTACAACGGTATTGCTCAAGTTTAAACGTAGACCGATATCTTTGCGATCTAATTCTCGTTTTTTTTTCCTCCTTTACTCTATGTTCCCTCTCCCTTCATAGAATTCGTTGCATCATTTTACAGTAGATTTGTTGCTACCTAAATAAAGCTTATGTTTGGATGTCGCTTTGACTAACGAAATGCGGACTTCATTTTGATGAGTGCCCACGCGCATGCGCAGTAGGGATGCGCAGAACCGTAATATCGTCAACGTCGTCTGTTCTGTGCTTAAAAGGAAGAGATATGGACATTTTTGTGAATACATATATTCACGTACACAGTAACGATATCCAAGCTGACAGATTTGGTGGTTATATAGCGTTTTGAGCCTAACATGGTGTTTGGCACCTATATATACATTTAAGCAGCATAACGTTAACCAGTTATATGTTATCCTATCGACATGACATTTCGCATTGCAAACGAGAAAATTAGTATACGATATCAGCATACTTCAAGGGCAATTAAGATAACAAATTCTGAGAAGTATCCAGCACGAATTCCTATGAAGTAAAAAGCTTGTTCACGGTATTTCTAATCTATGTATATGGAGAAAGGAAACTACCACAGGCTACCATCGACGGAAACTCAGCTATCACGTTATTATTCAATTAATAATCATGCATCTGAACTTGAAAAAACGGACAGCCACGTGAACCTCTCGTTGCGTTTAAATGCATTAAGATCAAGTACACTAACGTTCCACGTCCTCAAGAGTGATAATACGCGCTCAACTTCGGCTCACGTACAAAGTAATTATCGCGGCTAGATCGGACGCGCGGTCGCGAGCCAAACACGATGATTATGGATCAGAGATTCACCATAGCATTTGTCCACTAATGTTAGCCGCTGATATGCATCTTCGGAACGAGAAGTAATATTAACAACGCGGATGTTGCGTGCAGATATTGGAACGAATATCACGACAGGACAGGGTAGTGGGGCGCGCTGGTAATTAAATGTCCGACACGGTATCATAAAGACGGGCCTCGTATCGCGACATCACCCGCGCAATTGATGCTCGTCGGTCGCGCATTCTTTGCATACTGGATGCCGCGTGTCGCGTTTCAATTAATACGGACGCCGGACCAGGCGGCAATTTTAATGTCGTGCGTTGCTTAAGGTCTCCGGATATGAACTGTAGTTTATTTTCGTCTGATTAATAAGACAATGATACGTACAAATAAAAGTTAATATTTAAATACAAATAAATGTATATGGGTGAAATTTATATTCTTCTTTTGTTACTCTTTTTCTTTGCTCCTTTTAAAAATTGTTAAACATAATATAAATATAATAAGTGAATCTATATAAATATATAAGTAATAGGTGTTGATAAGTGTTGAAATCATAATTAGCGTTTGGAGCAACGA